TAGTATTGTTCCCCCTCTAGGGGAAAATTTTCTTTTCTTTTCTCGTGCCCAAGATTGTGGAAGGGAACGACAATGGATTTCATTGTTCAAATTACCAATCAACTTTGGTTTAATGATAAGGTCGGTTCACGACTTTCTGCTCTTTTTTTTTTTTTTTTTTAGGTAACCGAACTTTACCTGTCTTTTTTTTTTTTTTTTTTTAACAAAAGAAAATTAGGATAGTTTTTTTTTTTTTTTTTTACAAGAAAAGAAAAATTCGGATAGATTGTATGTGCATTTTCCATTAAGTTATGTCTTGTTGTGTACGATTTTCTCCGAAAATAACATATTAAATTTATTATGAATTTAACCTTAAAAAAATTTAAAACAATTGGACCAACTTTATTACATAAGCTGTTTGAGCAAAAACATGGACAGGCGTATTGACTTGCCTTCACCCAATGAAATATAGTAATTTGGATTAAAAAAGTCTAGAGTTATTAGCCGTCCTAATAGCTATAAACTATTTAACTAGCAGTTTATCAAACGTTAAAAAGAAAAAGTAATATTTCATCATCGACCATTTTATTCATGGATCGAATAGGCTGCAGTTACATAAAAAAAAGGTAATTCTATGGTCCAACTACTTGTAAAACCTTTTATAATAGAAATAATTTAAATCCGATTTCATTCACATGGGTTATTTTTATTATTATTATTATTATTATTATTTGAGAAAAGAGTTTACTATTATTGAAATTGGGTAGATGGAAAGTAATGTAACCAATAATATAAATTTTGAAATGTACTAGTTTCCTCCATAGATTTCATTCATACTGTCTCACGCGAAGAGAGAGGAATAATGAGCACCTGAAGGCTTGAGTGTTACTGTCAATTTGTCTGCCACAACAGTTAGAACAAGGTGTCAAAATATAACTATATAAGTCAACTTCTTTTCATCTAAGTTAAGCTATAATGATATTCTCAAAAAAAAAAAAAAAATGTAATTATAATTGAATTTGTGACAAGATTTATTTATCTTATTTAATAACGTAAAAACACATTCTAAGTTTTGTTATTCATAAAATTTGACTAGAGAATTTAGGTAGTTTGACTAGAGAATTGAAAGTAATTAAGTGAACCGACCTTCAATTAATTAAATAAAAAGCAAATTGATTAACTAAATCATAATAATTAAAATCAAGACAATGATTATGTTAACAATAGTATCTGAAAGTTTTGTGACAAGAATCCGCCGACGTTTTAAAAACAACCACAAAGTATAAAGTTCTAATCAACAAAAGGAGATTTTTTTTAACAAGGCGAAAGTAATAATTAGGGTCAAATGCCCTTCCTTTAAGCATAATTAAACTAATTAATCATAAAAGCTATATCTCCCTTAATTAATTAATTGCTATCCACTCAATTACCTTAACTTTGGCTATAAAATTTGGTTCATTCTACTAGAAGGAGAAAGCTTACTTACAATTAGGGCAAGTAGTTATCTAATAAACCTATTTCGAGTGTAATTGATAAGAAACTTTGATTAGCCAGACACTTTCGTAAATATGGAATAATGAAAGACAACGTAAAATTATTTAAATAAAACAATCAGATGGTTGAATTTAAATCAACAGGAATAAATTGCATTTTCAAGTGAACTTTATTTATAAGATGTTCAAAGGTCGAGTCATAAAAATGAATTTTGATTTGTAAAGAAAATTATGCGTTGTTGGACAAAATATAATTTTTATAAAATTTAACATTTTCTAAATTCAGTAAACAGTATGCAATATAGTAAAAACGAGTTTGGTGACATGTATGCTCGCATGGGCATTTTTCTTCAACTCAAAAATAATGTGTAGAGGAAACTCTATGTGATATGATGTATAGTTAGGAATTTAGGGTTTTCTTGGAAAATAATCACGAAAGTCTTGTGATTTTGACCATCTTGACCATAGTCTTATGTTTTCATAGTTGAAGTTTGACTAGCATAGATTAGAAGGAATCAAGGGAACTAAACATAACATATATAGGTAAATAGGATTTGCAAAACCCTAACCTTTTCGATTATAAATAAATTTTATTTATCTTGTCCAATCATAACCGCATTTTTCAGCTTTTTTTTTTTTTTTTGATCAGCCTTTTTTGGTTAGGCAAAGCTAAGCATTATCAGGAAAAAAAAAATGAAAAATTCAAAATAACTTAAAATTTGGATAATGTTGGGAAAAAACAATTTTGAAATTTTTATTAGTTGAGAAATGAATATTAACTACTTATTAGAAAAAGAAATTGAAGAGTTTTATTATACATTTTTCTTTTTTAGATTTTTTAATAATATTTTCACATGCGTTTTTTTTTAATATAAAACTGATTTTATTTTAGAGTCGGTAATTTATCTTTCTTTATTTTATTTTAAACATTAATTTGAAGACATCAGAAGCTATAATTTCATTGGTGAATAGTAGTTAATGAGACCAATGAGTGAAGAAATCATTATGACTCAGAGACGTAGTTAATAACAACCTATATATTGTCATGTCCAAAGGTGGCCCTCCTTCTTCCAATTCTGCCCCCCTTTTACCATTTTATTTTCAATTCTAAAAAATATTAATAATAAAAGAATTTAAGTACTTGTACTCAGAGTGTAGTTGTTTTCTTCTGTACACATGTATAATTTCCTTACTGCAACCAGTGAAATTTTTAGTGATGTTAATAATTGTACTTGTCAAGTTGCTGATCCTCTTTAAGATTCAGCACTGCATTTTGTACCAAAGGATATCCTGCAGCCTGGTTCCAGATCTTGGGAAATTATGCATAATTTGTATACCATATGCATAACCAATTAGTATTACCAAATGCGTTTCTAGGCTCGGATTATTGTAGCATTCAGGTAAAATAAAAGGCGGAGCTAAAATCTGAAAATGGAGATAAAATAATTGAAAGCATGTTAAATGGGTTAGGATTCGAGGCTCATTAATTTTGAATAATTTTTAAAAAACAAAATAAAAAAGAAAACAATTGCTTCCTTTTCGTATACATAAATTGTCTCTAGATAAAACTCTTTTAACAGTACATTTCTATATTTTGAATTCTTAATTTTGTAAGTAAGCTCATACGAAAGGTATGACTACGGTCTTTTAGCATTAATGAAAGGAAAAATGATTGTTGATTGAAAGATAGTAACAACATTGTTATCACGTTGTTGGCGGTTGCTATAAACACGATAGAAAGCATTGAGCATTGAATAAAAATGTTGAAAAGAAAAGGAAATAAAAATCTTTAATTTAATTTAATTAATCTACTTAGCAATGTACACGTTGCATTGGCTTACCTTTTTCTTGATTAATTGATATTAATAATTGGGATAATTAGATAATTTATCCATAGAAAAAATCCACGAATTATTTGTCTTTCTTTTTCTAGATATGAGGTCTGATTTAATGTGATTGTAATCATTTCAAGATTAACGTGTCATTTTGACCCGACGTCAGAGTAAAAAACACTAACTATTGCTAGTCTTTTAATTTGAAAATTTTTTATAAAAAAAAAAAAAAACGTTTTTAGCACCATTTGTACAAAACACAAAATCAGTGCAAAGGACTGTAATACCCTTCAAAAATGTTAAACAAGTCTGGCCTTACTGATGTGGTTTCAGGTTGAAATTGTAAATACATGTTTATTGTGCCCGGTTGTAGTAACTCTTTTTATTTATATATTATTATTTTCATTAATATTATAATTTTTTGTCATAACAAACTACTAATAAGAGTCAATCCAATGTGTGATTACTCTTTTTATTTTTTATAAAAATAAAAATAGAAAGAAATATCAAATTAAAGTATTTTCAATTATATAAAATTTTATTATTTTACTACAGGGTTTATGATGTTATTCTCATCCGTTCCTTTTTCTTTTTCCAGCTAATAAAAAGAATAATTTACTTTTGGCGAAATAGAAAATAAAAATTGATGATAAAAACGACCGTTGACATCATCAAGCTAATTATAATGTTAAGAGTAATACGTATAGATTCACTATGAGCAGCACCTTAACCATCAAATCAAAATTGTAAATAAGCAAAAATAACAAAGTCAACCCAAAGTTTTATTAGTTGGAATTTTACATGATTGACTTTTGGATCTAATAAGAGATTCTAAGAGTACGTCCAATTGAATTTAAAGGGCACATCATAATTACCCAAATCAAATGCACATGAATTGAAATCTCTCAAATTTTCATTTGAAACTTGTCTTTTTTTTTCTTTTTTTTTTTTCTTTTCCCTGATTAATTGATTACATGTCATTAAATTTCTATGTGGAAGACATCCTACTTACAATTCACACTTCCACCCTATGGCCCAAGTTGCCGGTACAACCCATTAACCCTTAGCCAGCCAATACTCACTAATTAACAATAATAATTACTTAATTCAATAGGAGTATGGTTACCCATCTACTAATCTAACTTTAATTCCAATGCTAACTACATTTTTATAAAAGGTTAACCTGCGTAATACTATAATATTTTACCTTTTAATATTTTATAAAAAGTTATTCGAACAGCTAACAATTAAACTATACCCAAATAATTAACGGCTACTAAAATATTTAATTTTGTCGAATAGGAACATGCGCACCAACCGCTACTACTAATACATCCGATAACTACCGAAGCACGAAGAAGGCCAAATGCTGGAACCAAATTAGTTTATAATTGTAGGTAAAGTAAAAAGATTAATTCTTTAAAGATCTTCTCCTTTACTAATCAGAAAACCCAATGATATCAACAATTCACTTTTATGACAAGTATGGTGACGTTCTTGTAAGTCTTCAACTGGGCTTATAGGTTGATTTTTATTTTTATTTTTATTTTTATTATATACCTAATTATATAAAATAAATGTATATTTGAATATTATTATTATTATAATAGATGTAATGTCCCTACTTGTGTTACTAACACTTTACCACTCCTAACCCATCATATAAATTCTCCTATGAACAAAAGGAATATATATAGACATATCACCATCCCTCTCATTCTCTCTCTCACATTCATTCTTGAATGCTGGTTTAGTTCTTGCTCATCTTCCGCTGCTAACCTGTACCGTTCAACAACAACAAAAACAGCAAGAGAGATTAAAAACAAAATAGAAAAAAAAAAAAAAAAACAATTATTCTCACTGGTACGTAAGACCCCCCTCTCCTCTCTCTCTTTCTCTCTCTCTCTCTCTTAATCTTCTCCAGTATTTAAGGAATACCCTTATGGAGAGCTAATTAATCTCTCTCAATTACCCTCTAATTAAATCTGGGGCTAATTTTTCAATTTAGTCTCCACTATTCGCTCTTCAACACAGTTTTAGCCAAATGGATTTTCTTCAGTTTTTTAATTTTGCTTAAACTCAAATTTCGTGTTGTTGACATAAACATTTACTACTAGTCCTTGTTTCTTTAATATACTACTAGTACTAGTAGTAAAGGTGGTAGTAGAAAACTTGGTTTTCTTGTTATTGAATCTGTTTGATGGGTTGCCTAAGAGAAATAGAAGGCAAACAAGCTCATGATCCAATATTCATTGAAAATATGAAAAGATCATGTCCAAGGTGTGTATGCGTGCCAGGGCCAGTAATTGTAGGAGCAGGGCCGTCAGGATTAGCGGTAGCTGCTTGTTTGAAAGAAAGAGGAGTTCAAAGTACAGTATTAGAAAGATCCAACTGTATAGCTTCTTTATGGCAGTTAAAGACTTATGATCGGCTTAGACTTCACTTGCCAAAGCAATTCTGTCAACTTCCTCTTATGGGGTTTCCAGATGACTTTCCAACCTATCCTACAAAGCAACAATTTATTGACTACTTAGAAAAATATGCAGAGAAATTTGATATTAGGCCACGGTTTAATGAGACTGTATCGTGTGCAGAATATGATAAAGTTATTGGGTTTTGGCGCGTGAGGACTGTGGGGCCTAAAGCGGAGGAGGTGGAATATGTTTGCCGGTGGTTGGTGGTGGCTACCGGAGAGAATGCGGAGGCGGTGGTGCCTGAGATTGAAGGAATGGGGGAATTTGGAGGAGATATAAGGCATACAAGTTTGTATAGAAGTGGAGAAGAGTTTAGTGGTAAAAGGGTTTTGGTTGTTGGTTGTGGGAATTCAGGAATGGAGGTTTGTTTAGATCTATGCAATCATAGTGCAAAGCCTTCACTTGTGGTTAGAGATACAGTAAGTACCCTTTTCTTTCTCTCTCTTTCCTTAAAGCAAAACAAACGCACTATTGAAAGGTTCTTTCTTTCTTTATGCCTTTTTGTCAAATTCAGTTCTACGCTTCCTCCTAACACTAGTTTGTTTTTAATTGATAAGAAATACCCTTTATAGAATCAGAATAAAGAAACAAAACCCAGATTTTTTTATTTTTTTAAATGAATGAAAAACTCAAGCAGAAATTGCACTTGAAAGGTTCTTTCTTTATATATGCCTCTTTGTCAAATTCAGTTTTAGATTTCTTCATAAGACTAGTTTTTTCATTGAATAAGAAATACCCTCTATAAATGCAGCATAAATAAGCAAAACCCATATTTTATTTTTCAAAATTTTTGGAAATTTTAAATGAAAATTGAAGTAAAACCTAATGGAGTACATGTTAAAAAAAAGCAATAGTTATTAAGGCTCGTAATTTCTTTCATTCATTCATGTAACGATTTGAAAGAGATCGTGCTAGTGGGCTTCAAGTCCCAACAGCAACTTATTTTTGAGTGGATGTGTGAAATTTTCTTTTATGTCAACAAAAACAAAAAAAAATAAAAATAAAAATTCTCTTAGAACTTTCACTTTCTTGGAATACTCGAGCATGCGCAAGATTGAAGTAAATATGAAATGATTTACATTTATTTGTGTTGATTGTTGTTGAATAGGTGCATATACTACCAAGAGAGATGCTAGGAAAATCAACGTTCGGGCTATCTATGTGGTTGCTTAAGTGGTTGCCTACGAGAACTGTGGATCGGCTGCTGCTGGTGTTGTCAAGAATTGTGCTCGGAGATACGGCGAGATTGGGATTGGACCGGCCGCAATTGGGTCCCCTTGAACTCAAGAACTTGTCAGGAAAGACCCCAGTATTAGATGTTGGGACACTAGCAAAGATCAAAAGTGGAGACATTAAGGTACTTTCGTTCCTAATCATATCATATCATCTTCTTGTATATCACATCACTTTTTCACAACTCTTACGCTTTGCTTGCTTTCTTTGATGGATTCTTACTGTTTCAAAACAATCGTACCTTTTGCTTTTCTTGATTTCATAGGCACTGTCTCTCTTACCTCCACCCCATTTTCTCCCTTTTTGTTCCCTTTCCTTTTTCTTTTTCTTTTTTCTTTTTTTTTTCCATTAACCCATTAATTGTTTAAGCTCCAAGAATTTTTTTTCCACTTCCTATTCAATTGGACTTAATTAAATTTATACTTTTAATCTTTTGCACTATAAGATAGATAATTATTAGAGTACAACTAGTTTAGTGTTTTAAATTGAATTCTTGAACATATTTTTTTAGTAATAGAAATAATTATTGTTTGTGTAGGTCTGTCCAGGAATTAAGAGGCTGAAAAGACACAGTGTTGAGTTTGTTAATGGGAAAACAGAGAACTTTGATGCCATTATCTTAGCAACAGGATACAAAAGCAATGTACCATCTTGGCTAAAGGTAGCCTTTTTAACTTTTATTAATATTTTTATTTTATCCCTATCTTTTTATCAAGTGTGTGTGTGTTGATCCATAAGGATACATTAAGTTAAAAAATAATAATTATGGGCTTGAATTGAATTGTCAGGAAGAAAAAATGTTTTCGGAGAAAGATGGGTTACCAAGAAGGCCATTTCCAAATGGGTGGAAAGGGGAGTGTGGGCTATATGCAGTGGGGTTCACTAAACGTGGTATTCTTGGTGCTTCAATGGATGCTCAAAGAATAGCAGAAGACATTGAAAGGTGTTGGAAAGCTGAAGCTAAACACTCTATGGCTTTTGCTAAATCACTTTTGCCTCAATCATCACCATGAATATTATTTTTTGAAAAATTTTTTGGTTTTTGATTTACATATAATAATATATAGAGAAAGAGAAAAAAAAAAAGAATTATTTCTTTGGAAAAAAATACAGGAGAGATATTTGGAGGATTTTTCTTTTTCTTCTTCTTCTTCTTCTTCTTCTTCTTTTTCCATAGTGCCAATGGACACAATTTTGGTACTAAAAAAAAAAAGAGAAAAGAAGGAAGAAGAAGAAGAGAGTTTACTTTGTAGCTGGGAAAGGAGGATTAGAGGAGAAGAGAAAAGAAAAGAAAAGAAGGTTTGTTTGTGGGGGGACCTCAGCTATGTGTACATGTTGTACATTACCATTTTTCTCTAATTAGGTATGACTTTCTAGAGAGGGGAAAGAGAAGGGAGGGAGAGGGTGGTAGGTTGTTTGGCATTTGTTTGCTAAGTGATTTTGGTTATTGTGCTTAACCTTTTCTTTACTTTATTTTTTCAAAAAAATTAGTGGGGGAGTTTGGAGAAGATAACATTCTGTATGTTTTTCCCTAATCTTTTCTTTTTCAATTTTTTCCAATTTTTTTAGGGTTTTTTTTTTTTATTTTTATGTTTCTTGTCGTAACTTTTAATGAAAATTGAAATGACTTCTAATTGAAATTTCTTACTTTCTTTTTTATAGATCGTTGAATTTTCTCTTTCTTTTTATTTTATTTGGCTTTGACTAGAGTTCGAAGTTCCCATTAATCTCGTAAACAAATCGAGTACAAATGAATTAAATCTAGTTGATACAATTTGCAGCAAGCAGGACCACTGTATGAGCATATGATGATCACCAGAATCTTAATAATTATTAAATGAATCTCATTCGGCTTTTCATTGCCCATTACAAAACTGATATGCATGTGTGCACCAACCCTTGTGAAATCATGAGTCCACTAAAAGCTTAATGACCCATTTGGGTTCCAAACAACACTAACCCAATACATATATATATATATATATAAGAAAACACAGAACGCATGCGCGGATTATAAACGTCGCCGTTTTCAAGTCCCAACATCTTTATATTCAGAAAGATATTATTTTACACACTCGCTTGATGTAGAAATTAGATAAAAGATTAAGTTCTTCGTGATCTAAATAATTTAAGAAATTTCGTTTATGCCCAGTTTCAAGAGGATCTAAGAAACGTTAGAATTGTGGTATTGGTGAGCCAATAGAGCAAAGTGCTTGAGCATGCATGAGGTTTCGTTTTGGGGGTAAGTAGGTAAACCTGAAATGGGCAAGCAATTGTGATATTCTTGGAATCTTCTTAACTAAAAGTGATAATGGTGCTCTTCAAAGGCCATTTACATATCAAGTGAATGGGGAGACCCACCAACAGTCACTATTTTGATATTTTAATCAACCAGATTAAAAGTTCAATTATTTTGGCAAAAAATTGAAATCACTTAGATATTGATTGATCTCTGACCCAAAGTTAAAAAGTGAAACGACATGAAATATTATTCATGGAAAAATATTTTAGTTCGCCATTTAGAATATGTGTTCGGTAATATAGCATTTGAACTAACTAGCTCTTGAAAATTAAAGTTATATTTTATAAAACGTCAACTCATGTAATGTTAGCCGCTACTCAAACAATTAACAGCTACCAAATAGCTAATTTTGCCGAACATATGATAAAATTATAGGATTTCAAATTCTAACTAGATAGAGCTAAATTAATCAAGGGTAATGGACAAATTGTAATCGAGAAAACAAATGTAGGTAGATTTGATGTCAGTATCAAACCTAAATATATCCAACAGCATGTGATTCTAGTTATTATAAGTAATCTATTTAAGCTTAATTAATTGTAATCACAAGTCAATTAATCAAGCAAATTTAGCGGCTGAGATTTCTACAATTGAATGAGAAAAAAAAAAAAAGAAAAAAAAATCTTTCGATGCAATATTCTTTCGAAAAAAAATTTAATGTTGTTGATCTTTTTTTTTTTTTTTTTTTTTTTTTGGATGTCAGTATTCAAAACTAATATATCCAACAAGCCATGTGGATTCTAGTTATTATAAGTAACTATTTTAAGCTTAAATAATTTGTAATCACAAGTCAATTAAATCAGCAAATTTTAGCCCGGCTGCAGAAATTTTCTACAATTGAAAATGGGAAAAAAAAAAAAAAGAAAAAAAAAATCTTTCGATGCAAAATTCTTTTCGAAAAAAAATTTAATTGTTGTTGGAATCTTTTTTTTTTTTTTTTTTTTTTTGTCAGTTATATATTTTATCTATAAACAACTTTTCGGTGATAAAGTTGCAAGTTCGTTAAAAATTATAATGTTTCATTTTTTTTTTTTTTTTTTTTGTCATGTTATATATTTTATCTATACACACTTTCGGTGATAAGTTGCAAGTTCGTTAAAATTATAATGTTTTCAAGTCAATATTAATATTTTTTGAATATTAATAGCAAAAGTGTTCTTGATTTGTCAAAATCTCATGTCTTTTAATAGATTTTTCAAGAAAAGATATACTGTCTTTGGTCCTGTAATAATTCTCATCCGTATTTTAAATCTTGAATGAGCTTGACAAAACATAATCATAATACGAGAATTAGGGTTTTTTTTTTTTTAAAGAAAATGTAGGTGGTGGGTTTTTTTTTTTTAAGATTGTATAAGCCTTATAAATATTTATTTAATATAAGAAAAAAAAAATATCGAATCTTGTGGGTTCGAGAATAAGGACATAGCCTCTCCAACAATGATTTGAGAGAGAAGAGAAAGAGAGAAAAATCAACATCAATGAAAGGCATCTTCTTCTTCTCCAAATTCTATTTAAAGCCGAACAAGAGAAGTTGCATGGCCCATGAGATCCAAATGGCCAATCTAAATTGGGCCCCCTTTCAGCCTTTATTACCATCAACTGTCCTTTCTAATTTCCCCTCCCTACCTTCTCACTTTTTTTTTTTTCTCTTTTCGTACTATTTTTTCAATTATATACTAATCGCCAGTTTAAAAGAGGGTAACCTTCATGTAACGGTACAATTATTCAATTTATATTATTTAGTATAAAAAAAGGTGAGCTTATTTTGAGTATTGGAAGAAGAATATTTAAAGTTCGATCTATTATCATATTGTGAAGAAGAATATTTAAAGTTCGATCTATTATCATATTGTGAATGCACTCACCACGAGATCATGTCTTGGTATGTAATTTTCTTTTTAACCTTAATACTTAACTTGGTAGCCAAATATACGATGGAAATTGAAAAAGGAAGATGGACGTTCATGATCCTCTCAACAAAGTTTCTTAGGTTTTTTTAAACTCAGGTTATACGTAGGTGGTTGAATATTTCTTATATAAAATTGTACTACTTTAATTTGTTAGATACACATGAAAGGAAGCTGTGTCATATTTCTGTCTTCCAAAGAAACTCTAATGTCCACTTCAAACATTTTTTGTTTACATGATTGGAATCATATAATTATATTTATAATAGTCGAATTAATTTGCATCTAGTGCTAAATGACAGTATGATAGATACAAAATGAATCATAATCAATTAATTAGTTACTTTTGTACTCGAGAAATCAAAGTTTTTTTTAAAAGATATGGAGGGTGGGACAGAAATTAGCAATTTAGTGAATATTATTTTAAAAAATTATATATAAAAAAAAAACTCATTTAATAGTATATTATTCTCTTTAATCTATATTCATTAGGAGGTACAATAAGTCGAAATAAAACGATAAATTACACAATAAGGATAGTCTTGTCTTGACTCATCAAATTAGTGAAAACTCTTATTATAGAGAGGACTCGAATTCAAAATCTCGCACTCTTCACATTAGTGCAAAGACCAACTAAACCACACTAATGATATATCAAATAAAATTATTTTTTGGTATATATATAATAATTACGCTAATCAGAAAAGTTGAAATACTAAAAAGAAGAGTAAAAACCAATTTCTAGTTGGATCAGTGAGAGTAAACTGCATCTTTAGATAAACTCTACTTGAAATGTAAAGTTAAGAGTTTGAAATTTTGGAATTTTAACTATTAGAAGTGTTTTACCTGCACAGCGCTTTCAATCCAAGTGTCTGAAATTTATATAATAAGAAAAAAAAAAAAAAAAAAAAAAAAAGCGCTTTCAAATCCCAAGTGTCTGAAAAATTTATAAATAAGAAAAAAAAAAAAAAAAAAAAAAAAGGAAGAAAACTAGAAAGAAGATGGGTTTGAGGTTTTCATTGTATGAACCAAACCTCCCAAAGGCAATGTTAGTTGGGGGTAGATCAATTGAATCAAAAAGCAATCTTTTTTCCTACAAGGCAGAAAAAAAAAAAAAAAAAAAAAAAAAAAAAGGAAGAAAACTAGAAAGAAGATAGGGTTAGGTTTTTCATTATGTATGAACCAAACTCCAAAGGCATGTAGTTTGGTAGATCAATTGATCAAAAGCAATCTTTTTTCCTACAAGGCAGAATTTTGCCTAAGCCACCCTAAACTTAAAGGAAAAGGAGAGTGGTCCTTTGCTGCGAAGGTGTATGTATATGATCCACAAGGTGATGATAGGACATTTTTCTCAACTTAAATTCCTCTTCAGACGTACATACTCATGGTGCACATGGCCACTCATTTGGACCAACCAATTTAAAAACCCTAATTTATTATTCGTGGTCCAAAATATTAAAAATTAAAAAATTAAATTAATAATAAACATTAATTTTCCTAACGGTTTGAAATGTACATATTAATTCCCTTCACTCATTTATGCCATTTGCTGGCTTTAAAATTGATTGCAAAAAGTCCATATCAGACCAGATGGTGGGGAACTAATTATCATTGTCATATACACATATCCTCCTGGAATGTCTGTCACTAAATTAATTAATTTCATAATAGTAATTACATAATAATAATTATAATAATACTGAATATAAAATTTAAGATTTCTAATAAAAAATTGTAAAAAGAGACTATATTTCTGAGCAAACCTGAGCATAAAGATTGGAAATTTTATGAAAACGATAATTATCTGGATTTGTGATTATTATATGAAAATACTCAAAGATTGGAATTCGTGGTCTTAGAATGAATAGTCTACATGTATATAGATAGAAGTTATGAATATGTATATACAAGTATTGAGAAAGACGAAAGAGAAAAAAATTTGTATAAATTCTGACATTTCAACATGTCTTTTTCTGTATTTATTGTTTGTCATATATCAGAAAGAAAATGAATTACATAATAGGACAAATTTTTCTCCTCTTTTCATAAGTATTCTTTTATCTACTGAGATTTTAACTAAAAATAATTTGAAGACTATATATATTTATGGATATATTTATTTCACATAATAATAATAATAATAATAATAATAATAATAATGTGGTCATATATTGAGATTAATAATAATTATTATTATTTATATTATTATATATGTAGTTGGTCATTTATGCTTTTAATGAATAATTCGGTAACCGGTAACTGACGATTGAATTCACTCAATGATCTTTATAATAGTAAAGGGTTGTATATGTAGAAAATTATTTACACAGAGGAATAAATATAAAATTTTGAAATGAGATTAATCTCGTAATAATGGAAATACTCATGGGTAAATAATAATAATATGAAAAAAAAAATATTTAGCATGCATATATACACGTGCCATCTCACAATTATTCAGCTAGCTAATTTTTTTTGATAGAATTATTTTTGAGTAACTCCAAGCCTAAATGATTATTCTCAAGCAAAGTCTAAAAGTGCATTCCCACTGTATTTGTGCAATTTGAAATCAATATAATTTCCAAATATTTGGAAAAATAATTTATTTATAATATAAAAAATATAATTGTTAGTTTTAGCAAAAATTAGATCAGCAAATTGAGAAGAGTTAGCTTTTATCCAATGCAACAAACCATACCGACAACGAATTAATAAGCTTTAATTCTAAATTAGTTCGTCTCCATTCTGCTATATTCATAATTAAATCGGTACTAGATAATTAATGTCAAGAGATAGTGAATCTTTCGTGACAATTTCTCTCCAAATAATTTCGATTCTCACTCTTCTTCGACAAGAATCTTCCGTGACTAATCTACCATTCTTCATAATAAAAACCTTTATCGTATTTCTAATTACTATAAAGAATATTAAGGAGATTTATCAATAAATTTTGATTCAACGAAATTATAGTAGTTTCTAAAATTGTGAGATTGTGAATTAACTCCCCTCCAAAAAAGAAAAATGAAAGAGACTCATGTTCACATGCTGAACCTTATACCATGTTTGAACAGAGAGAAAATATAGGAAGAAAGAAATTAATTAATACTCCAACTAAGAGAATATTATTTTTCCTTTGTTTGGAAAGAAGAAGGAAAATGACATTTTTGTTCAAAATTTTCTTCTCTCCTTTATTTTCCCACGCACTTCATATTCTTTCCTCTCTAATCCAAACATAATCTTGAAGAATACAAGGTTTTTAGATATTCTTTGCCACCCTTAACAACAATTGACACCATAAAGACAAAGCTTTTCTTGCATGTATGAAAAGGGCAAGCGCGTGCATAGTTATGAGAATGACGCAAACACAATCATCATCATCATAAAACTAGCTCAAGAACAACACCGTCTCACTCTCTCTCTCTCTCTCTCTGTCACTCTCTGTTTTCCTCCCAAAAATTTGGGACCGCCACTTACACCCATAAGACTATAACAAGACTACCATGACCTTTCTTCTTCTTCATCATTTCCATTTCACATTTCAAAATCCAAACTTCTTCACATGATGGGTATAATATTTAGATTCCAAAGTGAAGAGTATCGTATCTCTCTCACTGTGTTGTTGCAGGTCCAAGAAGATACACTTCCATCTTAGTTAAAACATGGACAAAAGACCTTTTCTTTATCACTTTTAATTAAAATCCCAAGTAAGTAAAGCTTTTTCCACCAACTCACTTTGTCTATCAATCTCGTTTTTAGCACAGATCTTTGCAATTTCCTTTCATTCTCTACACTTGTCCTATTCCATATAGCATATGCCTTTCTATGTGAGACAGCTACATAGTGCACATAATTGAGCTATCATATATATATATATATATAAAGTTGCCTATATGTTTCCAACCCATTTTTTGAATTTTTTTTTTTTTTTTTACCATTATGTTAAGTCTTAAATGGATTATGCTTTTACGATTTTGAGTTAAGAATATCGTAGCCCATTCCATCGATCAATTTCTTCTCTCTTGTTTATATTTTTTTTTCCTTATTTTTTATTCATGCATCGAAGTAAAATCTACTGTTCTTTCATAATTTCGTAAAAATTCTAGTTCTGTATAATGATAAAATATATTGCATATTTAGCTTTCTTTCCTATTCCGCAATTTTGTGAAATATTCTCTGTTTGTATAAAATATATTGAATATTCGATTTTCTTACCTCAAAATTAGAATGAAAGCTAACAAACTTATAGAATTTTCATTTTTCTTATTACCTTTTTGAATAAGACAAACAAGGATATAAAATTTTAACCGTACCCTAGTCAATTTTCTCTTCAATGGGTACTCAAATTCTTTCCCACTGGCAAAAATAAAAGATGCTGCTAAGCACTCAGAAAAGAGTGCACGATTAATGGGATATCAAAGAGAAAAACAAAAAGAAAATCAAAAGTTTTTCTTGCTTTGGAACTTATTATTATATTTGGGTAGACATGGTTACCTTTTCTTTTGTGTTGCTTTATATTTGGTTCGTCAATTTATTTCAGGTGTTTGAAATTAAGTAGGATCCTGCTGGGAATTTGATGATTAGCTTTTCTTCTCTGGGTCAAAAGGCTTGTCTAGACCTTTTTAAGTATGTGAATCTGTGAAAAACGATCAAAGTGTTTCTCTCTGTATTATTGTTTTGAATTTGAAGCTATTGATAGTGATTCTCGCAGTGACAAAATAATTACAGCAAAATTTTTGGTCTTTTTTGCTTTGCCAAAGTTGGAATGGAGCCATGATAGTGTGAAAAAGCAAAATTAGAAAACAAATGTGCGGTGAGCGTGGATCGAACACGCGACCTTCAGATCTTCAGTCTGACGCTCTCCCAACTGAGCTATCCCCGCGAATGTTTGCAAATCTTTCATTTTGATATAAATTTAAACTCTAGTTTTTCCTTTTTTTGTTTTGAAAGGAATGAAATTTTAAGTTAGTTTAATTTTGGTCAAGCTTATGTTTGTGGTGAGAACTTACTGTATAATCATATATACATCAGAAAAACTTTATATATTCATCTCAACTTTGCGACAATCTCTTTTTGACCATCTAGTTTGCATAACAAATTTATTTAATTTTCATATTTAAATAGTGATTTCAAGTAAACAATGTATACCTTAAAAAAAATTATAAAATACTTTAACATTTAAAAAGTATTATAATGAAATTGTCATAAATTATGTTTTATTATTTACAAATATATTAGAATAAAAGCTTCAAGATATAAAACAATGATAAATTTTCTTATACTATTTACCACTTTCATCGACGAATCAGCTGAACTAAACCTCCTTCAAAAATTTAAACCGCCTGTCTTCCTTTCGTTTGACATTTCTAACATACCAAAGAGGAAGAGGAATTTATGGGCCTGACTTATAGTCTAATGCCTTCTTTGTCTATTTGGGTTTAAGTAGCAATGTAATTGCTGAAATTAAATTGAATTACTTTGAGGCCCAAATCTCAATGATGATGGGCCTGCTTTAGTCCAATTATTGAACTATTACTGGGCCTTATTATTTAATCACCCAGTCCATAAGTACCCGCCCAAACCCTAACGCTAAACAGTCCACTCACAAAACCCTACTTCTCTTCTTATATATAAATACTCTAACGTTTCAAGCGAAAAGATTTTTCTCTGCTTATCCTCGAAATCGCCAGGTTGCTGCTGCTGTTGCTGAAGAAGAAATGGTGCTCCCTGCCTTTCTAATTTTCTGCATATAAAGGTTTAATTTTGTTTCTTGATCGGTAATTTAAATGAGTATTTTGTTTTTTAGGGTAAAGGAACAGGAAGCTTTGGTAAGAGGAGGAATAAGACCCACACTCTATGCGTTAGATGCGGTCGCCGGAGCTTCCACCTCCAAAAGAGCCGTTGCGGTGCTTGTGCCTATCCGGCTAGTCGTCTCAGAAAATGTATGCTCTGTTTTTTATCACTATTCTATAGTAGTAATATTTCAATTACAAGTGTATTTTTTATTTTCTTGATCTGATGATGAGAAGGGAAATCTTATATCATCTTTTAGTAGTTTGTGAAGGGAAATTCTAGTTTATTTGTCACATTTCTGAATTTTGTGCTTCTTTGGGTCTATTATTATCTTCCGATCCTTGGTGGTTTGATGCTTTACTTTTCTGTTTGCGAACCGGATGAATTTATATCATTTCTATTTGCAAATAAAATGAAATGACTTGTAAAAGGTTTCTCATGTTTGGTACCTTGCATGTTATATGCGTAAAATTCATTTTAATTATGAAGCCACATTTTTTAAAATTTTCTTGATTTCATACTCATTTATGAGTTAATTTGCAAATTGTACTAATTTTGGCTTAAGTTCAACCAATTCTATAATAGTCATTTTGTTAACTGTTGAGGTTCCAGTCTGCACATTAATTCTATTGTAGAATTTTTATAGAATTCTTTCGATTCCAGACAAGCTTCATTATGTGATTTATACTCAGTTGCTAGTTTATCATCGTGGCAATTGTGATGTAGCTTGTTTGTTGTTTGGTTTTCAGACAACTGGAGTGTGAAGGCTATCCGCCGAAAGACCACTGGTACTGGCCGCATGAGGTACCTCCGCCATGTTCCCCGCAGGTTCAAGACCAACTTCAGAGAAGGTAAATTAATTTGTCATTGATTTTCACTTTAAAAATGGAGCATTGTTTAATTGAATGTGCATGATTCCTTTGTTGGGATAGGTACTCAAGCCACTCCAAGGAACAAGGGAGCTGCTGCTGTCTCCTTATAAGTTCTACAACTGTAATGCAACTATTTTTGGCTTTCATGATTATCAATCTGCAAACCAGAATTTTGGATCATTGTTTAATGGCCATAACTAGTTATATGTTGGAGAGTTTTTTAAGCGTTGGAGAGTTACAAATTTTTCCTGTCATATTACATTATGATTTTTGGTGTTTATTACATTTTCTTTCTCATGGCATGTTCAAATATATTCAATACTGTCAATCTGAGATGAAATCGGAGAGCATGCATTTTGTTGCTGCTAGCCAGTGATGTGCTCTGTCCATCATGACATCATTGTTTCTCTGGTGCTATTGATGCCATTTTCATGGTTCTTGGTTATGCAAAAGTTTGCTTGATCTGGTTAAGCTTCTACTTCTTCCGTAGCCTAAAAACATTAACTTTCGTGAAGGAAAATACATAATCGTGCCTATTCAACTCGAACTCTACACTCTATCTTAGCTGAATAGTCTTTTCAGAATTTATTTGCAAATTCTACCAAAATCAATTTTATACTGACCAATTTGTTAAGGTTCTAATTTGTAAATGAATTCTATAAATTGTTTCCAGACTGCTTTTGTCAAACTGACTTCACGCTTCATTTAATGTCCGTTGCTTCTAATACTTTTGGGGCTTTGAGAGTTAAAAATATGTTATATTATGATTTTAGGTGTTTATTACTTTATTGCCAAAATATTAATAATAAGAACGATCATAATATTTTACAAATAACACTAGTCAAAGTAAAGATCTTAAACAATGCCATGAAGCTGCTAGCCAAAAACAATCCCAAGGATTTCACCGGCATTCTCAAATTCAATCAGATATGGTAAGAAATGTACATGATGGATGGTACAATCAAGTAGCATTCTCCGGTGCACAAGCAAAACTTGCAACCAGTCCAACACTGTCTTTCCAATATTGAAGTAAGGATCTGGTAGTCAATAAGGAAAGCCAATAACTACTGAGCCTCTAGTGTCTTCACCCTGCAGCTCTAATTCTTCCTCTGGTTTTCCCCCTTCATGGTTTAGGGCTATTTCTCTGTCTTGGGCAAGGTGGGGCGAGTATCTCTCACAGTCAATCATTCTTAATGAATGAATAACCTGAAAAGGAAAAAAATTCTGACCATCTAATAGTCTCTTGGAAAATTTTCGATACTGGATCACCATTTCTATCCAGATTAAGAGCCACTACACCCAGAAGTCGAAAACAACTGTGTCAATAAAAGGGTTTGCAAGTAATTGCAGGCAGAGGGTTTTTAGATATTATAAGACCTACCAGGATGAACACAAAAATACCAAATTCTAGACTATTTTATCTTAATGTTTGAGCCAGTAGTTCCGTAGTTGAGCCACGTGCAGTAGTATCTCATCACGACCTTGATTGGTGACGCTGCTGGTCATGATCCATGGGGGTGCTGTTTCGAAGAAGCCACGTATCAACTCTTGAAAGTCACTCACATTTTCTTCAGGCCTTTTCCCTCCATTCTTCTTCTTCTTTCGCTTGTCACATTTGGTGAAAATCAATGTCATCGGTATCTGGAAAAGAAAATAGATAGACCTTTAATCTCCCCCCTCATCAACCAAACTTTATATACAAAAAGCCACATTATCAACTCTAGTCTTTGCAAAACATTATCTTTCCACTAGTTCGCTACAAGTTCAGAGTGCGAACAACATTATGCATTTTATAGTGATAAGGGAAGTGATGCAGCCGACACCACTGACACATGTTTGTTTATGAAATTCAGGATTGGAACATAAAGTATCAACCAGAATATCAACATCCCATTTCCTGAACTGCTCAAGGGAAGAAGATAAAATAAGCCACCATTGCCTATCCATAAATGAGTTTAAAATGACAGATTAAAATTCATAACATGCCTATCTTATTCAATGTGCAGTCAAATCATTATTTCATAACAGGGAAGGAAAACAAAGAAAAAAGATGTCACCTGATTCTGACCCAGCCAACTTGCATATTCAAGATCAATTTTCTTTGCAGGGATACTTGCATCTATAAGAAGGAATACTGAGACCAAGGTAGAACGGTTAAGAAAATAGTCTTTAGTAAACTTCGCCCAATCAGTCCGAAGTTCCTGGGGTGCAGCTGCATACCTGTTTAGAGAAGAAACAAATGTGATACCTTTTACAACCTCTAACACTAGTGGTGCAAAGTAAAGTTCTAAGTCTATTTGAAATTAATAGTATGACTTCAAACAACATGCATAAGAAAATGAAAGCTAACAATTAGGCTTGTAATTGAAACTGGCCAACTCTCGATTGACTTGTCAAATTGTCAACCATAAGAATAAACTAATGCAAATGAAAAGGTTCCGTTATTGTCATTGATGCTAAAAGCACACATGCATTTGCAAGGGATTTTATTACAAGCACAGTGAGCACATATCAAACAGATACACCCCATAGGCATAGGAATCTCAATTTCATAATACCTGAACAGGTACATTATAACTTTTAGGAGCAAGTCAGATTGAAATGAAACCAAACAAACTGGATAAAGATACCAAAATCACACAGCCCAAGGATGATATAAGTAAGATACCTGAAAAATATTAGAAAGTCACAACGAATCGCTGTCAGAAATATCAGTAATCACAGAATATCAGTTTTGAACTCTTGTACCAAGCAACTTATATGTGTTCAGATAAAAAAGAATAAAACAATTCATACAAGTTCAACTATACACCAACTTGCAAGTCAGGCATTTAAACAAACCATACCCATATCCAGGCAAATCCACCAAGTACCAGCTATCATTGACTCGAAAATGGTTGATGCACTGTGTCTTCCCTGTGAGAGGAAAGAGCCAAAATCAAACTTTATTGTTAGGACAAAAACTAATAAATAATTCATGTTCTATCTAGCAAATTATAGTAAACGAAATTAACATAAGTCATCTCATTTATCAGAATGTCACTGCCAATTTCAAGAAGTCATCACTATCTTGTGAACATAACTAGTTCCTTAAAATTTCAGATTTTGAGGGTCAAAAAGCAATTCAATGTCATTTAAATCTGGCTCAGGTTCATATTTTTGTTTAACTAGGCTATGTTTGGTACGCCTATAAAATGAAACATGGTATAATCGAACTCATTTTTTTGCTTCAGCATCCAGAGAAATAACTATATTAACTAATCTTCCTTTCCAACGTTTCCCTACTCTTAAGTCCTCTTGTAAAATATGGATTTAGTTTCAACATTAGTAATCAACAGTCACCATCTCACAAGACTCGGTTAAAAGTTGAACAAATTTCCAAGAAAATAATCTCTCTCCTACAATGAAGTAAATAAATTAAAAAAAAAAAGAAGATATTTACAAACCAGGTTTCTTTGAGATAAGCGCGAGCCGCTTTCTTCTAACAAGCGAATTGAGAAGTGAAGATTTGCCAACATTAGACCTGCCCACAAGAGCAAACTCAGGCAAACCATCAGAAGGACAATCCTCAGTCCGAACGCTGCTCTTTATAAACTCTGCCTGCGTAACCTGAGCATCCCTCGCGTACTTACTCAATACTATATTCGACCATTTCAAGATTCTGGTACTGAGATTAGTATCATTGACTGGAACTTCAGTCTCCGGCGGGACAAAGAGCTTGTCAAGTGAAATCTGGATTTGGGTTTCCTCTGGAGAGGCCAAAATTTCATGGGTGTTTGAGACGTGGGATATAGGTACGGGCTCCGTTGTAGAAAGAGTGGATTTGGGTTTAATAATGGTGGAATATTTCAGTTTAGAAAAGAAATTGATGTTCAAAGGAGTATGCAGTGAAGGCGGTGAGTGGGTAAAGATAGATAAATGGAGTCGGGGAAGAAGAGTCAGAACCATTTCTCTTTGTTTATCTTTGTTTCTAGGATTAAGCACAAGGAGCAGACTGAAATATCTGAAAATGGCGAAGAAAGAAGCAACGCAGAACTCGTTTGGAACCAAAAAAAAAAAAAATCTAATTTCGAGCAAATCGGGTCATCCAGGTTCGGGCCAAGTTCATTGTGGAGCGTTCAATAAAACGACATATCCAGATACTGCTTAATATAGCCGTTCTGTCGTTTACATCGTAACAAACTAATAAAAAAAATTTCACTTGAAACGGCCGTCTTTCTGAAAACATGAATAGTCGTTCATCCGTAACAAAGATTGGACAGAATTTATGCCTATTGCTTATCGTGGCAGTTCTCTGGTTCATGTCGTTGGATAAACGACACTCTACTCAAAAGACGAGTGCTAACGGGCCAATAAGCTACTGCCATCTCATCACCGTTACAAATGCTAGCACCAATTGGATTTTGTCATCTCTCTCATCTCCGTTTCTCATATTCACAGCGTCTGCTTGGCTCCATGTTTACTCTTTGTTAGATCTCACCAGCTTGGATCGATCTTCGGGTCCACGGCATCGTATTTTTCATAATCGGTCAGCTATGGCTCCTCCGGCGCACTCTCAGCGAACGCCGTCGCCGTCTCAACCGTCCGGGTAAGTCCAGCTTCTCGATAACCCTAACCCCTACTCTAATTTCACATTTCAAGCTCTAAACACTCCTCAACTAAGCTAATCCCCAATTACGCTTCGTGCCTAACCATGTAAGTCAAACTTGTTACTTTCTTTGCAGAAAAAGCGAAGTGTCGGATTTGAAAACGCAGCTCCGGCAACTCGCAGGCAGCCGAGCTCCAGGAGTGGACGATTCTAAAAGAGAGCTCTATAAGAAAGTTATTTCTTACATGACAATAGGCATTGATGTGTCGTCTCTCTTTGGTGAGATGGTTATGTGCTCGGCGACATCTGACATCGTTTTGAAGAAAATGTGTTATCTTTATGTAGGGAATTACGCGAAAGTTAATCCTGATCTTGCTTTATTAACGATCAATTTTCTTCAAAGAGATTGCGAAGATGAGGATCCAATGATTCGAGGGCTTGCTTTAAGGAGCTTGTCTTCATTGAGAGTGGCGAATCTGGTGGAGTATTTGGTAGGGCCTTTAGCGTCTGGGTTGAAAGATAATAATAGTTACGTAAGAACGGTGGCTGTAATGGGAGTTCTTAAATTATACCATATATCAGCTGTAACTTGTTTGGATGCAGATTTTCCTGCTATGCTGAAACAATTGATGCTTCATGATCCAGAAACCCAGGTGAAGTTATCTTATAAATTTAGTTGAACAATGGAATGATTTTACATTAACTCATTGGTTTTCTATCTTATGGTTATTTAGGTTGTTGCAAATTGTTTATCTGCCCTGCAAGAAATTTGGGGCTCGGAAGCAAGCACTTCTGAGGAAGCTTCGAAGGAGAAAGAAACTTTACTTAGCAAGCCTGTTATATACTACTTTTTGAATAGGTATGATGTACAGCTTGGCTTAAACTTTAAGGTACCTGGTTAACTTCGGGAACCATGCGTTTATCACTGAAGGAACTTAACTTCTAATTGTTATCACATAAGACCCATCACACTTTTCTGCCATGCTAGTTTCGCCTCTTTGTTGTTTACCTACTGCTATACATTATAATTCGAATCATAATTGGTGAAATCATGGGCATTGTGCAATCACATTAAGCTTTTGTTGCACTTCATCTATACTTCTGTAGTTTTATGCTAACATCTCGTACACTTCTCTTATTCTTTATATAATAGAGCTTTGGTATCTAATGGAAACTTTATGCCGTTCAGGCTTTTCCCATTTCCCTCTCCATTGCTAATGTTGCATTGCATATACTTTAGCATGGATTTGTTCAAAATGTGAATTGACTGGATTTTACATATTTATTATGTTGTCATTTAAAGATAAGTTAACTCTTGATGCTATTGCCAGCAAGGACATTATTGTATAGCCGCTATGGTAATTCTCCATATTGTTACCTTTTTTACCACACAGAAAGACCATCTATTCATTGACGTAAATGATTGACACTGTGGTATAAGTTGGCTATTTTATGGTCTCATATGTTATTATTGTATCCAAGCAGTCCCTTGAGAGAATGGAATGACTCTAGTTATAGAAAGAACACTGCGAATAGAAGAAGACACATCATTGATTTTGTAGTTAATTAGAGAAATAATAGTATGTGATGAAGACGTGCTAATTTGAAATACTTATTAATAACAATTTAAGAAGAAGCGCATTTTAAATTGAACAACTTTGGTTTCTTCATGTCAAATGACAGTTTTTAGCTCTCTTTCATTTTTTTTTTTTTTTTTTTTTTTCATGTCAATGACAGTTTTTTAGCCTCTCTTTCATTTTTTTTTTTTTTTTTTTTTTTCAATTTCAGGATCAAGGGAATTTAGTGAATGGGCTCAAATGTCTTTTGCTTGAGTTGGTTGCTAAATATGTACCTGAGATAGCATGAAGCTTTTTTTTTTTTTTTTTTTTTTTCAATTTCAGGATCAGGGAATTTAGTGAATGGGCTCAATGTCTTTTGCTTGAGTTGGTTGCTAAATATGTACCTGCAGATAGCAATGAGATATTTGACATCATGAATCTCCTTGAAGATAGACTTCAGCATGCAAATGGTGCTGTTGTACTTGCAACCATCAAAGTGTTTCTACAGTTAACCTTGTCCATGGCTGATGTGCATCAAGAGGTGTGTATGGAAAATAAATTTTGTTCCATATTTAAATCGGACAGTATGAGAGATTGACTCTGATGTAACGGTAAAAGTTACTCCACTCATAACTTGGAGGTCATGGGTACGAGCCACGAAAACAGCCTCTCTGCAAAAGCAAGGGGAAGGTTGTGTACATCGAACCTTCAAAAAGCCTGCAAATGTGGGATGCTTTGTGCACTTGATTACCCGCTTTTATTTAAGTTGGACAGTATAAAAACTGGAAGAAGAGAGAATTCCTTACATTTACACAATCACACAACTTGCTATTGTTGTGAAGCAATTTGATTTTTGGTCTACATGTCCACTTTGTTAGGACTGAGAAATTTTACATGAATCTACTCCTATCCTTTTTACATGTTTTAATCTTTAAGCAATTCTCATAAAAAATATTTCTTTTACATGATGTTAGGATTTTGAGATAGAAGATATTTATCTTTGTCAGTTCGTCTATAAAAAGAATATTTTATTCCGTATTAAAAAACAGGTCTAGGATAGCTGGATTGTCTCCATCAATAACTATGGAAGTGTTTTGTAAAGAATAATGTTTTTTTGGATATGTCTTCAACACCTTTTCCCACCCTTACTTTCTTCACGAGGTATATCTGTCATTTGATATATGTTTTCTAGTTTTTGTCCTAGGGATCGATGGGATATTGTGGGATGTAAGATCTGGGAGGGACCCACCTATAATCTGATTTGATCCTTTTCTTAGAGGCAGGCCTGTTTAAGTGGTAGGAAATGTCATTTTTTGCAATAATAGCACACCAAACTTGGGTCATTTTGGAAGGACCATAATTTTTATGTTAGATTGCTGTGATGATCTTTCATAGAGCATTATTTCACTAATGATTTTGTTTTTTGTTTGTCAGGTATATGAACGTATTAAAGCTCCACTCCTTACCCTAGTCAGTTCTGGAAGTCCAGAGCAATCATATGCTGTTTTAAGCCACCTGCATCTCTTGGTGTTGCGTGCGCCATACATATTTTCCTCGGACTACAAACATTTTTATTGCCAGTACAATGAGCCATCTTATGTCAAGAAGTTGAAGCTTGAAATGTTGACTGCAGTTGCAAATGAAAGCAATACTTACGAAATTGGTGAGCAAACAGCTTCTCAGTGTCGTTCCTAAGGCCTCAAGGTTATAGGGTAGAACTTGTCTTCTTACTTTTTTAGTATGATTGATGAATGATCTTCTTGAGCCAATTTCAGTGACGGAATTATGTGAATATGCTGCAAATGTTGATATTCCCATTGCAAGAGAATCAATTCGAGCTGTTGGAAAAATAGCACTGCAGCAGTATGATGTGAATGCTATTGTTGATAGGCTTCTTCAGTTTTTGGAGATGGAAAAGGACTATGTCACTGCTGAAGCTTTGGTAAGCAATAGTTGTGCATGTTCAAATGCTTACTGTTGAACTTGTAAATGTTAGACACTGTTTTTTTGGTTCATGCAAAACCATGCACTTTGCAAGCAAAGAAATGGGAGAACTTTTTTTTTTTTTTTTTTGAAGTATCCGCTGTCAAATTGACTAGTTTGATTTCTTTTCTTCAGGTTCTTGTTAAAGATCTGCTAAGAAAGTACCCTCAATGGAGTCAAGATTGCATTGCAGTTGTTGGGAATATCAGCAGCAAAAATGTCCAAGAACCCAAAGCAAAAGCAGCTCTTATATGGATGTTAGGGGAATATTCTCAGGACATGAATGATGCTCCTTATATTCTAGAGAGTCTAATTGAGAATTGGGATGAAGAGCATTCTGCTGAGGTAATAAAACTGCCTTTTATTTTTTGGATATTTTCTGCTTCACTTGATACAGTTTCATTTTTCCCAACCTTTATCATAAGCGGCTTTGATCTCCCTATTTGTCAAGGGATATAAAATTTCTTTATACATACCTCAAAATGGGGCAATCTATTTTTTCTGCAGCATCAAGTCTTTTTTTCTACTTGTTTAGTCTTACTCTTTAACTGAATGGGTGAAAATAATCGCTATGTGCAGGTTCGTTTACATCTCCTCACAGCAGTGATGAAATGTTTTTTTAAGAGGCCACCTGAGACTCAGAAAGCATTAGGAGCTGCACTTGCTGCAGGTCTTGCTGATCTCCACCAGGTACAGATTTTTTTTTTTTTTTAGTATCTAATATTTAGCACTTTCAGAATTATTGAATTCAACATATTTATCTCTCTTTCAAGAAAAAAAGAACACATTTATCTCAGTTATCCAACAGTTTGTGTAAGAAAGCACGATTAAACTTCCAGTTGGTTGCAGGATGTTCATGATAGAGCCTTGTTCTACTACAGGCTATTGCAATACAATGTGTCCATTGCAGAACGTGTTGTAAATCCTCCAAAGCAAGCTGTATCTGTCTTTGCTGATACTCAGAGCAGCGAAATCAAAGATCGCATTTTTGATGAATTTAACAGCCTATCTGTGGTGTATCAGAAGGTGACTATAGTTCCCTTCCTCAAGTGTTTTCTGAATGAAATAACTTCCAACTATATGCGTGATATTATTTTGAGTCATTTTGAATATCTCATGATGGAAAAGAAAAGGTAAAGAAAATGGAAATAGAGAGAGATTGGGGCAGGGTGAGGTTGAACTGGCGTTCATATGCATCATCATTGATATTTTGTTGTAGCACTTAATGGGAATTAATGAATCAAGCCCTCTATATTTCATAGGAGCAATAGCATTATGGAATGTCTATTAGTAAAATATATATCTCTGTTATCATATTATTGCCTTTAATGAAATTTCTGACATATTATCAATAGGCTCATGAATTTTAATACGTTTCCCTGATGACCATCATTATACTTGATGGAATTACTGAATCAAGCCCTCTATATTATTTAGGAGTAATTGCAAATTGGAATGTCTATTAATACAATATAGTTCTCTGTTATCTCATTATTCCCTTGTGCATTATCAGACTACTGCTCCAGTTGCTTTGAAGTCCCAACCTCCAACCCATATGTATTTTTTTTTTTTTTTTAGCATCATTATTCCCTTGTGCATTATCAGACTACTCGCTTCAGTTGCTTTGAAGTCCAAACCTCCAACCATATGTATTTTTTTTTTTTTTTTAGCAATCTATCATCTTGTCTACATAAGAGCACGGCGCACTTTTTTTTTTTTTTTTTAGCATCTATCATCTTGTCTACATAGAGCAGGCGCACTTTTTCAAGGGTTAGGGTTGAATTAACATATTTTTACATATTCTCGTAGCCATCCTACATGTTCACCGATAAAGAACATCGGGGACCATTTGAGTTTTCAGATGAGCTTGGCCATTTATCTATTGGGGCAGAATCTGCAGATGATGTTCCACCAGCGAATAGAGTTGAGGCAAATGACAAGGATTTGCTTCTAGGTACTTCAGAGAAGGAAGAAAGCAGAGGTGCCAGTAACGATGGTTCTGTATATAGTGCTCCTATATACGATAATTCATCAGTGTCAATGGCTGCTCCACAAGCACAAACAGAGACAGTGATATCAAACCTTGGAGTTGTAGGTCCTCAAACAAGCTTTGCCATTGATGATTTACTAGGTCTAGGTCCACCAGCAGCACCAGCACCTGCTCCTGCTCCTGCACCTCCTCCTTTGAAGCTTAATTCCAGAGCTGTCCTAGAACCAGCCACTTTTCAGCAAAAGTGGCGCCAACTACCAATATCTGTATCACAGGTTCACTTTCCAAATTATGACTTTGCTTGAAGTAATTGTTTCTTTTAATAAATGTGCATCATTATCTGGATGAAAATGAAGGGAATATGCTTCTCTATTTCTTAGCAAAAGGGGAAATTAATTTTATAGTTCTGTAGATGGTGTTATCATTGCCCTATAGGACTTATATGTGCATGCATTACCAATGATCACACATTAATTTGTTGCAGGAGCATTCCATAAATCCTCAAGGAGCTGCAGCGTTGACAACACCTCAAGCTCTTCTTCATCATATGCAAGCCAATTTCATACAATGCATCGCATCAGGAGGCCAATCCCCCAACTTTAAGTTTTTCTTCTTCGCTCAAAAAGCAGAAGACTCTTCTATGTATCTTGTAGAGTGTAAAATCAACACATCATCAGCTAAAGCACAAATAAATATCAAAGCCGATGATCAGAATACATCCCAGGAATTTTCGACTTTGTTCCAATTGGCCCTGTCCAAGTTCGGTACTCCATGAGTATCCTTATATAATTTGTCACTTGAGTTCCCTTTAGAAAATAGGTCCTTTGTTGTTATCTAGCTGTCTCATGTAGAATGAGAAGTGAAAAATGAAATAAAAGAAAAGAGGAAAAGATTTTATGAGTTAGCTGTAGATGGGTCATGAGTGTATAATTAAACTGAAAATTAGGAATTTTTCTCCACTTATTTAACTTTTCTTCTCCTAGTTTTCTATCATTGTTGCTTAATTTCTATACCAATTTATCCCTCTTGTTGGCCTGTTAGTTACTTGGAAGGGATTTTGTGGCTTTGAGATATTGGGAAAAGTTGTAAGTAAACTCATTTTGAATTAACTATTTAGTGATTGTGTAAATCTCCAGGTAGTAGCTTCTTGTATACAATATTTTTCAGTTTCATTTTTTCTTTTTTTGAATCAAATAAGTATTTGATTATGGTTTGAATGCGTTTCAGGTGTTCTATAGTATGAACAATCTAATGCAGCTAAAATGTTGCAAACAAACATTCACCAGCCTATTGATTTGATTCTGCACCTTTCAGTACAGAATAGTAATTTTTATCAAAAAGTGTTAACAAAAGAAGATAAGGTTTCGTTTTACGGAGTTTGTAACAGGAACTAACTGTTCCTTCATTTGTTGGTTGGTCATGAGTCAGCAGTTGTTTAGGGGCAGGACTCAAATTTTACAAGTACTAATGATCTGGATTAGTTTTAGAATAATACTAAAACTAAACTTTTCAGTGCTCTTTTCTTTTAATCATATACCATCGCAGATTCACTTGGACAAACAAAATGCTTATATAACTTGAATTTGTTCCGTAATGTCTTCACCATCTATCTCACCGGCACCGGCTGTTTCTCTGGTTGCCCTTTCATGGCCATTGCCGCCAATAATAGCACCCTTTTCTTCTCCACCAGCACCACCCTTGTTTGTGGAGAATGCGAGTCCACAACCATTACCTGGAATTCCACCGTTTGCCTCGCCACTGCCACTATCTCCTCTCACCCCCACTCCTATTGAAGTGGCAGGAGCGCCTTCACTATCTCCATCACTGTCGGAAACTCCCTTGACACCTCTACCAACTCCATCAAGAGCGACAAAAGCTGCACCCCCACCTTTGACAAGCCAATATGCACCTTCACCTTTTCCTCCACCTCCAGCCGAGACTACACCATCATCTATTCTGCCTCCAGCGCCTTCGTCATTCCCATTGGCGCCACCTACAGCAGCAAAATCTCCGGGGCTGTCACTTCCATTGGCAAATGGAAATCTGCCAGAGAGTTCAAAACAATCTCATGTATCAACAGGGCTTATAGTCGGATGTGTCATTGGAGGAGTCTTTCTACTTCTTCTTTTTGGACTAATCTGCATTCGCAATAGAAATAGAAGATCAAGTAGAAGACGTTCCACCACAGCGTATAGACCTCCGAGCTTGGAACCAAAAGGTAACCATTATTTATACTTCATGTTGATGAAAAGTTTAAGATTATTATAACCAAATTTTAACAGCTGAAATTTTGGCTTTGTAGATAACTGTAAAACTATTGTGGCTCAACATTCACAACAAAATAGTTGGCCGGATGGGGCACATGTTATCAGAGTCCAAACTGGGACATTTTCTTTGTCACCCACTTCAACCAGCTGCGGAGAAGAAAATCCAATGCCAATTCATGGCCCTAGTATTGTTTCGGGTTTGTCAATTGGAACTTTTACATATGATGAACTAGTTGCAGCCACTAATGGCTTCGCAGATGCTAACCTTATTGGAGAAGGTGGATTTGGTTATGTTCATAAAGGATTTCTCGGCAACGGTCAAGAAGTTGCAGTTAAGCAGCTCAAAGAAGGAAGCAGGCAAGGGGAACGCGAATTCCTGGCAGAGATTGAGATTATCAATCGGGTTCATCATAAACATCTTGTTTCACTAATAGGACATTGCATAGCTGCAACTAAGAGATTGCTGGTTTATGAGTTTATTCCAAACAACACCTTGGAATTCCATTTACATGGTACTTGTTGATGCTAAATTCTGTTTTTCTGTATAATGGTCTCAATAACTAGTTGAGAATAGAGCTATGTTTTGCAGGAAATGGACGACCTATCCTGGGTTGGGATGTCTGATTCAAAATTGCTATAGGGACAGCTAAAGAACTTGCATATCTCCACGAGGACTGTGAGTATTTTTATTTGATCTTCGTTTGCTTCTTTTGTTTCTTGTTTGGCATAAATGATTAAATGAATTTGAAATATAAAATTCTTTTTTAAATGATAAAAGATTGGTTTAGTTTTCTATATTTCACAAAATTGAACTCCTGTAAGTGAAATGGATATTTTTTCATATTGAACATGATAACATGAAATTCAGATGAGCTTTCATTTATATCGCACAGGGTATTACTGTCAAATAATAGTTTAATTGTGAAATTTCATTGCAAGCAGGTAATCCAACAATCGTTCATCGCGACATCAGGGCAGCCAATATCCTTCTCGATCATAACTTTGAGGCAAAGGTATTACTTTGCTGCATCAATTTTAAATTTGATCAAGTAAATTCATAAACTCACAAGATTCTGACCACCTCAATCCCAGGTTTCTGACTTTGGACTCGCCAAAAGTTTTTCTGATGCCAGGACTAGCAGCACTCACATTTCCACCCGAGTAGTAGGAACTTTTGGGTACGATAACGATCACATTTTGCTTATCATTCTGTTGCAAATCTTGTGCTTTCACCTCCTACAATCATAATCCTGCATTTTCCTTTGCTGACCCCTCATCAAAATATTGAATTCATTTATAAATGATAGAATTTGGTTAAGTCGATATCAAATTTCAGAAAATTGAATTCATAGAAGCAAATGAATATTCATCTATATGAAACATGAAAACATGAAATTCCAATGGATTCTACGCGACATTCTGGTTTCAGGTACTTGGCGACAGAGTATGCATCAAGTGGCAAAGTATCAGTGAAATCAGATGCTTATTCATACGGGATCATGCTTCTAGAACTCTCATCACCGGACCCAGCCTATTGGTCTCCCTGCAAAGAAAGAATCATTGGTTAACTGGGTGAGTCCTAATTATTAACCGTATATAGAGGATCTTGCTTATATAGAGTTTTTTATGGAACTAAGATTAAGCAGATTGGGCAATATTTCTGACTATAGGATTATTGATTTTGCTGTTGTAGGCAAGGCCTCTGCTTACTGAAGCTATAGGACATGGCAATTTCAAAGCTTTTGTTGATCCACGGTTGGAGAACAATTACAATACAAATCAGATGGCTAGCATGGTTGCTTGCGCTGCAGCTTGCGTGCGACATTCATCATGGCTACGACCACAAATGAGCAAGGTAACCCTTTTAACCTGCTGTTGCTACCGATTCTGCAGGATAAACAATACAAGTATTTCTGAAAATAAAGCTGCAATTCTTTCCTTGCGAGTACCAAATGATTGAGATTGTTTTTAAGAAAAGGAACTTTCCTATTAATTTGGCTTCAACTGGAGTTTGAATTTGCAATCCCACGATCATGAAAATGTCTCTAATATGGTGAAAAATCTATTTCAAATGAATGCAGGTAGTTCGTGCTCTAGAAGGACATATTTCGGCCATGGATCTCTACGAAGTAACGGAGCCTGACCACAATACATTATATGATTTTGCCAGTACTTCAGATTATGATCATTTCCAATATAATCACGATAGAAAGGAACACGACATGGCATTGTCCAGTAGGCAATACGGCATCAGTGGATACAGTGGAACCACCAGTGAGTATGGCCTTAACCCATCTAGCTCAAGCAGCGATTCTAGCAACAGATAAAAGTTCAACTTCCTTTTGTCATTTGTATTACTTTTAAATTCTCTAGGGTTTATAAGCAATTAAAGTTTTAAGTTAAAAATAGATTAGAAACTCAGCACTCTGTTAAGCTTTTACAACATATCATAAAGCAATTTCAATGCAAATTTGTAGCTAAGGTTTCTTCAACTTCCAGCAGTTGCAGCTAGAATTAGCACCTCTGAATGGTTTGTAGGGTAGTGAACTTCCATTCAGACCCCCTTAGTATTCTCTAACTACCCACCAGTATAAGTGTAGGGCAAGGTACCCTTTTGTATTGGAGAAACATATGATGAGTACAAAGAGCATTTGGTATTAGAGAAACAAAAGATAATCACAAAGAGCTTCCCCCAATGAGACTGAGACTTGTATTCATTAAGCAATCATATTCGCTGACCGTATTTCTCATAGGCTTTTAATGTTTTATTTACAGTAAGACTCTGAAGCTATGCAAACAAAACCTCAACTGATTGTCATTCTAATGCTTTTATACAAAAACTAGTAAAACTTCCAAAAAAACAAAACAAAAAAAAAAACTAACCAGAAAGAACAGAGTCTATGATGTCGGCATCCAAAAGGGAGTTGGTTGGAGAACAATAAATGAAAAGGTTCCATGAGATAGCCTCAGTAATTTCATGAATTGCAGCTGTTAAGAAACAGAAGTCACAATTCTGATTCTTCCACAAATTTTCTGTTTCAACTGTTTTCCTTTGTGCATATAATCTGCCACGATAAGCATGGCCTGACAAAGTAGATATACGGCAGGTGAAAATGAGAAATCATCCGCCTTTACCTTTTTTATCCTTCAAAGGTTGAAAAGATTTGAACCATTGCTTCCAAGGAGCATCCTGTTGTTGCTCAATCCATGACAAGAAGCAACTATCCAACAAGCAGAAGAAGTTAACATACAGAAGCTGATATTTCACAGGTACAAAGCGGAAATTTACACCTTGAACAACTGGCCATATGCCTCCTTCCACAATCAGAGCCGGGAGAAAATCCCTCTTCAGATCTTCCTTTATTTGTGGAACACTTTTTCCAGCAGAAAAACCCATGTATGTGAAAAATACAAGTAGATCCAGTGGCCCAAACACAAAACCATCAATTGCAACTTTAGCAGCAACAAACTGCAAGGAATTTGGCCGCATTACAAGTCGCAACCTTATGAATTTGTCTAAACCCTCGTACCTACAAGTGTTGAACAAGTAACAATTGAATATACTTTATACACATTTCTCAGAGTTTACCAACAGACGTTGCCTCATTGATATGTTTCTCCATCAATTAAAATTTGTTTGAAGTAGACATGTTTGCCACAAGATCCACAACTTATTAGAAAAGCATAATTTCAGTGTTTCCCTCATTCACTTTTGTCAAACGAATTGCATGCTTGAAAGTCTTCCCCAAGTGTGTTAATGAAAATGAGAGAACTCACCAGAAGTGGCCAATTGGTCCAACAAATCCGAACCCAAACAAGCTTGTGGTTGCCACTCGTTTCCAATTAATCTTTAATCTTCCATTTTCTGTATCCTGGCATTTGAAGTAGATGTTATAAGCCAACAACAAAAAAAAGTGTTAAACAGGACAACAACAAATGACATATAAAGAAAATGAGCAACAAATTTTAATTATCCATATTTGCATCAATTATCAATTATATATATATATATATATATATCATGCCAGTTCCTGCAACCTGCATTAGTAGTATTACCATGTACCACTATTATAATGACAAAGGCAAAGTTCTTGAGGAGGAGCAAGAGGGGAAACAAGCATACTCCACATGTATCAAGAACTAATATTGTGCTAAATTCAAGAAACGTATATTATGAATTGGGAGAAATTATTTCTCGGAAACAAATAGCCAATGCCAAACAAGACTAATTCTTCAAGATCCTCCCTAATCACTCTACTATTGAGGAACACCAAACACATGATCAAATAAAAAGAAAATGCTCAACAAGGAATATGAACGCATTGCCTTTCTCCAAAAAACCAAAGGGAAACAAAAATCGAGATACACCCAAATGCCAGACAAGCAAAAACAACAAAAAAAAAAAAATTCATAAAACAAAAAAGCACATAGAAACATAAATGTAGAATTACAATTAGGATCATATTGACGATAAGTACCTCTTGACATTGCTGTTTCTTGGTGCAGTTGGTTATGGACTGGGCAGCTATATCGCCAAACCCCCAAATCAAGCCTGAGCTAATCACCTGTGTCTTAACTGGATGCACCGCCAAGCAATTACGGTACCATTTCCAAAGCCTCAACATTTCCCCAATTATTTATAATGTAAAAAAGCGAAAGAGAAATTTCTATTCTAGGCACAGAGAAAAAGAAATCGCGAGAGAGAGAGGATAATGGCATCCATCATCGATTCTTCAAGAAGGAATGAGTATTCGTTTATGTTGCTTTTCTAATCAAATATTTTTGTTTACTCTCTTTATGATTTTCAAAAAAAAAAAAATCCATTTTTGAATTGAGTCTGTTTTTTGAGAAGTTTTCGCTTCTTTCCCATAGTTTCCGGTAAAATTTTTTCCAATGAGAGTTTTTCCAGGAATTTCGTCACAGAAAGGACCATCGCTTGCAATACGAGGTTGTACGTAACATATTTCATGACCTGGAACACCATTAAAAGTCTAATGCTGTTTATAGTTGTACCTTTAATTTTTTAGCATATCTACTGGGCTGCGCTGGGAGGATGGCCCATTTATTGAGATTGAATTGGCGGTTCAGGGCTGATGGATTTGGTCTCAGTTAGGCCATTTCAGTCCGGTTCAGGCCTTTTTTCTCAACCTTCTGTTTTTTTTTAAGAAGGATAAATTTGCCTACGTCTATTTTATGGTCCACCTATAGACCAAAGTAGTAAAAATATAAATTCTTTTATTTTTTTCTCTACAATATTCTTGTTTCAATAATAAAATTATTTTTCTTCTATTCAATCTAGGAAAGATGTCATATTAAACTGTAACTAAGCAAATTAATCCAAATTTTTATTATAATGCTGGAATCTATCTAATTTAATAAAATCGAGCGGTAAAAGACTTTTTATTTTTTTACTAGAGTGCATTTTTTGATATTGAAATTATATTTTTATTTTTACTGAAGTGAGATTGCTGACCAGTTCAACCGGCAATTTAATTGAGCTGAAAAAGGCCAAATTCTATTAGCCAAATAAATCCTTTTATTGTCTAATATTATATATTTGTTAAATCCACATGAAAAATATAAATAATCATAAAATTGGAAAATACTAAATAGGAAAAAGGAAATACTTCTCAAAAATTTGAGCACCTCATTTCTTGGGCTCTCTTATCGCCTGTTCTTTGTCTGTCTTTCTACCAAATGCTGACACTTTTGTAGATAATATATTTTATTTGGACTGCATGCACTGCACTTCTAATCTTCTATTAGTCTCTCTGCTCAGTGCTCAAATTCAAAGTCCCATCTCTCTCTCGCTCTCTCTCTCTCATTATACTGCCTGCAAGTGCTGAGCCCGATAGGTACAACATGACCACCTTATAGTTTGTTTTCTTCGTATTTTCTTACTAGCTCACAAGCAATTCTTTGGTTCTCTAATGGCTGGCTAGAGTTCATTTCTGTTTCGAATCCTCTTGGATATATTTCTTTTATTGAGTGAAAAAGGTTAATTCTTGGAAATGGCTAGATTTAGTCTTGTTCTTGAATTTAAACATTTTGTTTATTTTCTTGAAGTGGTATTGCAACAGCCTTGGTTTCTTGCTTTTCATTTGTTTACTTCCACTAATTTTTCAACTTAGGCTTAAGTTGAGGAAATTAAACTTTATGGACTTGCTGATGGTTTGGAGAACTGCGAGTTCTTGTTTGGGACCTTGATTGATATTTGATGTTGATTGGTATCAATTTTACTGTTTCAGATTGATGAAGTCATGCATTAAGATTATTACGGTTTGTTGGATTAGGTTTTTTACCACACTGATGGTTTCTGTATGACTGATTTCAAATTTCTGGCCCTTGAAGAATGTGTTTTCCCTTTTCAGCTTGACCTTCATTTCGAAGTTTTGAATTTTGATCAGGAGAAATCATGCTTTTACAGGACATTCTTGAAATGGAATGAAATTCAATTCTTGGAACAGGATCTAATTCCATTTTTTGGTATACAAAGAATCAATATTCTGGGCGACGTCGTCATATTGGAATAAAAATTTAATTTTTAATTTGAAATGGTTAATCATGTTTAATTATGGGGAAAGGATTATTGGGATCTAGACATTCGTTTTCGTCCCCATCTCTTTTCCAAGACACACAAAATAAGCAAAGAATTCGATGAATTTTGCAAATGTTAAAGACGATTTATGTGAATGGCATTAAGCATTGAGTTCTTTTGCTTGATCTTGAGTTCCAGTGCCAAAGATTAATCTTCTTTCATGCTCTAATTCTTAGAACTAGGAATCTCTCGTACAAAATGGAGCTTCTACTTAAAATCTCAAGCATGGACAAAACTGATGTAGGAAGCCATTGTTTGGCAGCAGTTTAGGTTTAGTGGTGTCAAATACTTGATCAATTGACATTTGGTTTATGTGCTGCATTTTATGAATTTGATGTCCTTTTCTAAAGGTAATACTCTAAAATTAATGACTTCACAATCTGCCAGGTTTTGTTTCATTTTAGGATTGAGCCTTTTCTTCTCTTGTCCTTTTCGCATTCAGAACCCACTTTGTTTGCAAAAATTAACATTTTTGGTTGATTTGTCTTGTAAAGACATACTCTTGGTTTTATGTGATTATCACATCTTATTCATGGAAGAGGTTTGTGAAAGTTTTGCTTTTATATCAAACTTTTATTTATATGTTAATTAATCATGCCGTTCTGAAATATTAAAAAACACAAATTGGCATCACTTGTTGAAACCACTTTATAGATGTACTTGTGTCAAATAGTGTAGATTTGCCCTTTAAGTATGCTTTAGAAGGAAGAATGTCTTTTGGTTTTCTATAATAGAAGATAAAAATTAGATTACATTATTAGGTTGCTGCATGTGATACATTATTGAAAACAGTTACTTTGTGCTAATTATCTTACTGATCAATAGGTTTTCTATAAGCCGTTAATGAGAAATTTTTCACATGGTCTGGTTCTTTTGTTTTTCAAAATTAATATTTTAGATTCTTGCTTTATCAGGAGAATAGTCCAGATTATAAAAATCAATTTCCTCCAACTTTGAAGTCTATGGAGTTTCAAAAAGCAGGCAGTTGCATGTTCTGCATGACCAAAGAAGGTTGCAGAACTGTGCGATCAAGGACGAAACTGATGAACATTCTAATAGAAAAAGGAAAACCCCAGGAGGCAGAATCAATTTTTGATAGTTTAATTGAGGGAGGGCACAAACCCTCTCTAATAACATATACAACCCTCTTGGCTGCCTTGACCATGCAAAAGCGTTTCAACTCCATACATTCAATCATCTCACAGGTGGAAGAAAATGGAATGAAGCCTGATTCTATATTTTTCAATGCTGTTATAAACGCTTTCTCTGAATCTGGGAATATGGAGGAAGCTATGGATACATTTTGGAAGATGAAGGAGAACGGAATGAAACCTACCACTAGCACTTATAACACTTTAATCAAAGGGTATGGTATTTCTGGTAAACCTGAAGAATCTGCGAAATTGCTAGACCTTATGTCTCGAGAGGGGGATGTGAAACCCAATCTCAGGACTTATAATGTTCTTGTAAGAGCTTGGTGTAACAAGAAGAACATTTCAGAGGCATGGAATGTTGTGCACAAGATGGTGGCTTCCAGAATGCAACCAGATGTAGTTACTTACAACACTATAGCAACAGCTTACACTCAGAAAGGAGAAACAAATCTGGCTGAAGGGATAATCTCAGAAATGCAGAACAAGGGCATGCAGCCCAATGAGCGAACTTGTGGCATCATTATAAGTGGATATTGTAAAGAGGGAAGGATAAAGGAGGCATTGAGATTCGTGTACAGAATGAAGGAATTTGGTGTGTATCCTAATCTTGTCGTTCTTAACTCGCTAATCAAAGGCTTCATAGAGACTATGGATAGAGATGGGGTTGATGAGGTGAGTTCTGAACCTAGTTTAATGTTCTGCTTATATATTTTTCTTTGTGCAATGATATTTTCTGATTACATGCAAAGGTAATTGGCAATGAAACTTTTAAAAAATTAGAGGACTCAAGTTTTTACCAGCGTCAAGGTTGGCACATTTGATTGGAGTGGCTATTTGTCTAAGAATTTTGGCTGTTAGCCAAAATTAATCTTTGCATAGATTTTAAATCTAGTAATAGAGTAACGTATACCGATACATCATTTCAGGTTCTCAAGTTGATGGAAGAATTCAATGTCAAACCAGATGTAATAACATTTAGTACTATCATGAATGCATGGAGCACAGCAGGATTTATGGACAAGTGCAGGGAAATCTTCGATGACATGGTGAAGGCTGGTATAGAACCTGATGCACATGCATACAGCATCCTTGCAAAAGGTTATGTGCGTGCGCAAGAACCTGAGAAAGCCGAAGAACTCCTGACAACCATGATCAGATCAGGGTTTCACCCAAATGTTGTGATTTTTACAACTGTAATAAGTGGATGGTGCAGTTCAGGCAAAATGGAGTATGCAATTAGAGTTTTTGATATGATGTGTGAATATGGAATTTCTCCTAATCTGAAAACTTTTGAAACATTAATGTGGGGATTTAGTGAAGCCAAGCAGCCATGGAAAGCCGAAGAAATTCTCCAGATTATGAGAGAGTTTAAGGTTGAGCCTGAGAGATCCACTGTGCTGTTAGTTGCAGAAGCTTGGCGTGCCATTGGATTGACAAAAGAGGCAAACAGAATTCTAGGTACCATAAAAAGAAAGGAAATGACTCATAGAAAAGACAGAGCTGAAGAAGATATGCCAGTTGAAAGCCTGGAGAAACTCTATCAAAAGCAAAGCACAAATGTTTCATATTCCAATCTCTTGCATGTACCAAGTACAGTTACGAATGATCAAAAAGGGTCTAGTGCTGCCCTTAGAAAGGGTAGGATGGTGCTGAGAGAGGCAGAGTTTTCAATGGAATACTCTTGGCTTGCTGCAAAATCCATGTGTTTCTCTCAAACTTGTAAATTTGGATCCAGGCTGCCAATTATTTGCCATAAGCAGTCTCAAGGGCAACATGGTATGTATGGTCAGTTTGCACAGTCATGTACAGCGGTGTTCTTGAATTGAAAGGGAAAAAAAAATTGTCTTTCTTTCTTATTTTTCCTTTTTCTTTTTTCTTTTTAATGTGTATTTTTATTCACATTTCCGTCCCGAAAGAAATTTGCCACCAAATTTGATGTAGATGCTAGATAGTAAAGGGTGTTATTGATTTATGTGAACTGTATTCCATTTCAGGCTTACTGATAATGCAAGTGAATAGCATTATATATATCTGATAGTAGACTTTGTAGTTTGTAGTTATTTTGAGGAAAAGAAAAGTTTAAAACTTGCTGCTGACATTTTCCTGAAACAAGAAGAAAATTAACTACAAAAGCATTACAAATACAAAAAGAAAACCATATGAGGCGCAACAACTACATGTTTTATAACTTCTCACAATATATTTACATGTTCATATATCATCATGACCCATAAATATATCAGACTGATGGACTCACAGCAAGTCCATATAATTGATCAATCTCCAATAAGTAAAAATCATCGTAAAGAAAGGTTTATGCAATGAAGTCCTTCTATTTATGCACACTTGTGAACTGTTGCTTATCGGGTTTTGCCTGATTTTGCACGCAAAGAAGCTTCGTGGTCTGGAGGAGAAGGAATTCTGCTCACAAGCCAAACCAGAACCACACCAATAAGGGCACCAGATAGATGTGCAATATGATTGACACTCTGCATAGGATAGCCCCCACGAAAAGTGCCTGACAATGCTGCTGAAGCTTGTGCTGCTTCCATCACCTGTGGCAATCCGAAATGAGCACACAGAGAAGATTTCCGCAGGTTGATTAAAATCCCCTTAAATAAAATGTTTAATTAAACTATTCACCAACTCAAACATAGGAATGCATACATCTTAAGTCAAGATGATGATATAGCACTTTCATCTAAATGGTCATTTCAGGAATCTAAACCTGAGTTCAGAGGTTCAACTTCAAATGTTCTTGAATGATTGCCAGTAATGCTTGTAAAGAAATACTTCCCCTCACTTCAGTCTTTTGTGTGGAAGAACAATTCTCAGCATATACGTTCCCATCTCTATGGAAATTCTCAGTCTTTGTCGTTCTAATGGAAATTATAATATATAAGAGGATAGAATGTGCTCACCCTCTCTATAACAAATTGGCCCAATATAAGCACTTCAAGGATCTTTCTCCAGTCCCATGTTATCTGCAATAAAGAAAAAAGCAGATTGAGTAGTCTATGCATATTCGGTTCATAGAAAGATCTGCAGATTTTAAATCTTTTTAGATACCTTTACAAGGACACTAATAGCAAATAACCCAAAAACAGCACCAGAAGCTCCCACAGAAACTGCATTTCTCGGTAAAACTAACCATGAAACAAGGTTTGCTCCGACACCAGTAAGAATATAGGAAAGCCACAAACCAAAGTTTCCTTCTTCTTCTTCAACAAGTTTTCCTGTTAGCAAATAATGGTGAAATTAATCCTCATTTATGTGATTTAGACAGCATCCTCGTCAATGAACATACTCTAATAACCCAAAATAATAATGACCCTCACCAAAAATGTACAGGAAAAAGAGGTTACTTGAAAGATGTCCCCTGAGGAAATACAAGCAACGACACAAGTAAGCTTTTCCATGTGACTTTATGTCTTGAACTTACGATATCAGAATTATTTGAAAGTCTATTCAACCTAAGGACCTCACCAGCTAGCATGGCAGAAAGTTGCTGTTATGAACTGGTACCAAGCTGGCCAATTGTGATACAAATAAAGAGATTTGATGCTGCGAACCTTCACAAAATGGAAATAGAAAATTTACTATCAGCTTGACAACCTCAACTACATAACTTGATAAGTTGACCATAAGCAAAATCTATCTTCACAAAAACCCTAAGAACAATTATTTCCCACGTGGCTGAATAAAAAGAACCTAGTGGAGAACAGTACTAGGTTAAAAATTATTGAAGATTAAAGGTGAATTCTGAATATTGTAGTTACAAAACTTCAATCAGCTAGAGGGAGCTCCAAATTGCTTTTTCCAACCGCAACTAAAATGAATTGAAAGGTAGTTTCAACATTAATGTCAAACAGGCTCTTTATGTATTTCTGGTAGCAAAATATGAAGCACACACATGATACGCAATACATGACATGGAACTATATGACCTATGTAGTTTTAATGAATTCAACAGGTTGAGAAGACAAAGCAATATAGTTAAGTACCTGAAAAAAGTGATCTGCAACATAAATTCCAAGATTGAGAAGTATAATCCAAAAGACTCCATTTGCACGTTTCTCCGGTTTCCTTCTCTCTTCCGGCTTATCAAGTTCAAGTTGCCGTATCATATCTAGTGTAGAAACAACACACATGTTCAAAGAAACTCGAGTTTCAACAATAAACATTTGCTTCATTTTCAAAATTAAACACACATTGCATAAGAACACCAAACTCAAGTTATCCAAAATTTTAGTACAAAGAAAAAAAATTATATTCATATGTGTGCTTAACTTATTTAACGCCACTTACACAATCACATCACACCAAGTGTTTGTAAAAATTCCCAAGAGAAAAAAAAAAATCTTTCTCGAGAGACTAAAAGGATTCTACTTAATACAAATAAAGAAAGCAACGCAGATAACTGTTTTAAGCAATAGCCACCTGAATCATTCATCTTGCAAACAAAGCGAGATCGGAAGGCAGGGAGAGGAGGAATAAAACAAGGAGAATTAACAGGGGCGATAAGGTTTGGATAAGTGGAGAAACGAGAAGAAGACAACGGAAGAGACTTTGAAAACGGGATATAAGAAGCCATGGGCATGCATGTGCATGGTGAATAATAAGGTTTCATCACCGTTGAAAGTTGATGTAACTGAAGCTGCCTCATCGGTCCGTTTTTGGAGGGAAAAAGATTTCCTCCCTTTTTGTTTGGCTCTTGCGCTATGAATGAATGAAATATGAAGAAGTATAGATTTTTGGGCTTTTTAGTGAGTATTGGTGATGGACATAAAGGCCTGTGATCGTATAAATATTGGTTCAGAACTCGTGTAAACAAATTAATACTCCTCGGCCCATAAAAGCGTGACAATTTAAATGATAACCTAACCATACTTTTGTTTTGTCCACCAACATCTTACTAGAGGCGAATTGAGAGAATTTGATAATCCATAATATTTCTCTATTGAAACTGAATATAAATATTTATAGTATTACCGGCTATTCTAGGTAGGTGAACTAAATAAATACCAAACGAGAATATCGAGAGTTGATGCGATGAAAGATTTCGGGTATAATTTCTTTTTATTATTATTAGAATTGAGTTAATTTCATAATTCTTTCATTCTTTTGTAAAAAATAAAAAATATATTAATATATAATGCATAAAAATTAGTATATAACACGCATAGGTCAAAAGGTCTCCGGTGTCTACTACGCAGTCGTAGCAACATAGAAGGAACAATAAAATTCATGTAACAAAAAGGAAACAAATAAGTAATTTTCAATTTAAAGTAATTGAAACACCAATTATAAAGAGAAGGAGACAAATCACCTAACCATATTAAAAAAATTCAGGAGGCCAGTGAATTTTGAAATCTTAAATGGAATCTGTCTTTTCCAAGAATCATAAATAATTAACAAAAAGAAAATAAAAATAAAAAATAACCACTCATCCAGCATCTCAAGAAATTGAAAGGGTTGTAGCTTTTGCCGGACAGGCAAAGCCACGTGAATCCTTTTGTGGCTAAACTATATATATATATATATATAATTCAATTTCAATGATATTTAAAAAAAAATTAAAGTAACAGTAATTATTTTATTTTAATTTCACTCTTATTTACATATTTATATTAAATCTTATCTTAATAAAATAAGCTAATTAAAAAATAATCTAATCAACTACTCTCATTTTTTTTAGTGATTTAATATTTTTTTAATTTTTATAAAAAGTCAAAAACGGTTAAATTTAACAGAACGGATAATATTATTATATATATTAAAAATATAAAAAAATCCTTTGAAATTTGAATTTGAACCCTTTTACTACAGGAGATATTTAATTTGAATATGATTTATTTTATTATGACTAAATATTAAACTATCCACATATTAGTTTTAATTTTAATTCCTAAATTTTCATGCTAAATTAATATATTTCATACTATTTTATGGCAAAAGTATTGAATTCTCTCTTCTAACATTTCAAAGGGTTTTTGTCTTTTGGATTACTCATTGGGGTATCCATTTAGATTTTGGTGAGCAATACCATTAAAAGATGGCCACAGAAAATACCACCAATTAACTTCTTTTTTTTTTTCCTTTATTTTTTGACGACTTTAGATTGAATAATGTATCCAAAAATATTAATTATTGAAAAAACAAAAACATGATTATCATGATGATATCATCATGATATTAAGTTTGATGATGAATGCACAATAAGAGATGTGTACTCTATTAATTCTAATTTATTATTCAGTCACTCACAAACAACATCTATTTTTTTATGCTATATTTCATGGTTAATATTAATTCCAAATAAAATAAAATAAACTAATATATAATATAATAATTTCAATAACTTAAGCAAAACAAATATGATATGAATGCATGTTGGAAGTACGCGTTGGGACTATATGTGAATCAAACCGTGCGCCCTTCCTACAAAAATGTTGGAGTTTAGCTTGTTTAGAGAAAATTAAGTTTGAATTTGCCCGATAACCGTAAATAATACGAGTGAGTTTAAGCTTAAGTTAAAAATCTATTAAATCAAAATAACGTGGTTTTAATTAATTTTAATTTATTTAGTTAGCTCAATAAAGCTGGTTATGAACTTGCACTCAACTTATTTATTAAATAAGCTCGATAAGAATATACTCAATTTCTACTCGTTTAAAAATAATTAAGTTCGAGTTCAATTCAATCTCGAAATTTATAAAACCAAAACGATATAATTTTAATGTAAGTTTAATTGATTTTTTAACTTATTGAGCTAGGTCGTGAGCTCAACTCGACTCGATAAGTTAGCTCGCAAAAACTAAATTTGAACTCGACTCATTTATTAAATGAGCTCGAACAAGCTCTTATCTAGCTGAGTTTAGTGCAACTTGTCACATTTACACCCTAATACTTATCATTATAAATAAAATTATCTTAAGTTTAGAGACAAGTAATGTTAGATGGTTTTAAAAGTTAATTTTTTATTTTTTAAATTTTATGTATATTCTTAAAAATAAATATACCAACCATTTATTTATAATTTTTATTTCTTTTTTCCTTTTAGCTCGTATAACATTTATTAAATTTTATTTTGGCTCCTGCGAAGCCCGTGAGGTTTGCATTATTAATACTATATAAGTAAAACTTTCTATGTAAACAATCAAATGAATATGACAATCAAATTGTAAAAAGATCCTACGGGAGGGGCAGCGTCACCCATCAATGTGCACTCATGGAGAAATTTTAAATCGGGACATCAATATCTAAATCGGTAGATGGATAACGATTATCAGTTGATAGTCCTGTTTTTTTTTTTTTTTTTTAAATGGTAAAAAAAAATTAAATAAAAAGCAAAAAGGTCAAATAAATAAATAATCACAATCACAATCTGTGTTCTAACTTTACCGGTATTGAACGTGCATGTGACAGCTTTTTGCCTAACAAAGGGCTCCTCCTTTATTTATAAACAACTCACACTTTAATTATTTGAGGTAAAACCATAAAGCTACTTTAATATTAACGACCTGTCTTTCTTATTATTTAATAATCCTACAACTTATCGTATTTTTAAATTATTTTATCAAATAGTATGTTATTTCATATAACAGTATTTTTTTATAATTATTTATTGATATTAAAAAATTATATAAAAAAAGTTATCACATGAAAAATTAATTTGAGAGGCAGAGATGATTTTGGTGGGTTGTTTTGAAACTTCAATTGTCAATATGGCAGTTGAGAATCAACCTCAGTTAATGAGAATTAATTACTATTAATAAAAGTAGTTTATATGCAAATTCATTTATTTTATTTTCTAGTCTTATTAAAAAATTCTGGTCATGCAATTAACAATTTATATAATTTAGGACATGCACATGAAAGATAAAAAATATATATATTTATTAGAAAATTGGGCATTTGTTGAGGCAAACTCTTATAAAATTTTATATTTGCTGAATCTGTCTTTAAAATGAATACCTAAATATATATTTTAAAGCTTAAAATATTTGACTTGGAGAATCCAGATTCAAATCAGATCACCAAATAGAGAAAGTATTAAATTTTATTTTTATTTAGTAAACAAAGTTTAAGGTTTGGCTTTGACACACTGCACATTATAAAATAATGTTGGACAGAGAGGAATCATTTGATGCGATCTAGAAAACAAATTATATATACAATAAAAATAAAAAAATTTCTATTTTTTTATTTATATTCGATTTAAATAAAATCCCATCTAAAAATATCTTATGCAAATCCAATTCTCTATAAACCATTAACAATTTTAATCAAATAAACCATTGACATTAACAACTGTTTTTATAAATTTTTATTAATTTAATCTTTCAAATCATTAATTTATACAAATTGGGACATAAAAGAAAATTTGGCATCACTAATCCAATCGAATCAGATTAATCACTTTTTTATGTTGATTTTTCAGTTTTGACTATTTAAGGTTTCATTTGTTTACCTTAGACGAAACCTAGCTGGCCCACGGAACGCCATGATACGTGATTGTATCTTCTAGTCTCATCAATAATCAAATGGATCCCACTCCTACATGAGTCCTGTCGCACTCAACAATTTCTCACGAAGAGAAGTCAGAAGAGGTTTATCAAGGGGATAATCCAGTGTGGTATCTCCACTTGTTCACTCGTAGGCGTACGACCGTGCCGTGGATAATCAATTCGTTTTGGTCGTTTATGGCTGCTCATGTGGAGATGATAAGTCTCCACTACTAGTCCACGTGGACTCTCTTACTTTAATTTTTTGAGTTCACATCTAATGAGTAACCTTTAGACGGCAACTATAATAATGTTAAGGGAAAATCTTAATTTACCCCCTCAACTTGTATTTAATATCAAATTCGATCTAAAATTACTTGTAAGATCAATCAAGGACTGATATTTTATCTTATAGCCAATTTAGTCATATTTTGACTTGAGAAATGCATCATTTTAGGATAATACAACACAATTTAAAAGAAGAAATAAAATAAAAAAGGAAAACATTTTTTTTCCTTCCTACTTATCTTTTTATTGAAAATTATCAATTATGTCCTAACTTAAATAATGAGTATTTAAAAAATTTTGATAATTAATTTTGAGTATTTTGGTAGTTTAATAAATACAGGTGAAATTCTTACTTTCTTCTATTTTTTTCTCTCAAAATTGAAAAAATTCAAAGCATATAAATTCAGATAAAAAATAAATAAAATATTAATTCTTTTAATATTTTCATTATCTTTTCCAAATAAAAAACAAATTATTCTAGACAGTTTCTATGTACAGTCTCGTCCAAAGAAAGGATAACGGTTAAATCAAGTCCCGGATTCAACTCAACTCCAACGATATACTTTCCCATTGCCCTATTAATCATGACCATTGAATCATGGAACATGTGCAAAATCCGGTCCACACATTCATAATTATGTTCCTTAAGAATCACGTGTAACTAATCATCCCTATGCCTAATTCATCTTCTATGCAGCCAAAGTTGCTTAAGCACACGTGATTTCCCATTATCTGTTTCATACGATGATAAGTTATATTTTTCAAATTCGGATATTTCCTCTCATTTTCTGAAAAAATCAAAAATTAATTCTTCTTGCAAGTATGTCCCCCATTGGGGATTACCAATTTACTAACTTTTTAGGGTTTCTTGTTTTAGTTTATTCTGTATGAACTTCTGGGTATCCTAGGAAATTAGCAGCACGTGCACCGACAA